TCTCGCCTGCGGGAGAAACATTTTCGACTACGCGTGGACCTTTAACACGTCCGCTGCTAAATAAACATAAACCAACCCCTTCGCGTCATTTCGCGACACGCAGAAAGTCCAACCAATAGCGTCAGTAGAATTGCTTGGAACTTATCCATTGACAGTCAAGTCGTTGATTGTCCTTGGATAGTTGTAGCAATATAGCAGCGAGAGTGTTAAACGCGGGCAATATCCAAGCGATAGTGGAAACCGTTCGATCGTTCCGGAAGGGAACTTTCAAGGGAGGGAAAAGCTCTACGGACTCTCTAATGTTTGCCTAAATACGTGGATAAGGTGTGTTTCGTACGCTATTCGAAAGGAGAGGAAGGAATTACTAATTAGTAATGTCTTATGTACACGAGATCGTTTTCGTCGTTCATCCATCCGCAACATTCGACGCACTCACGCCCATCGACGATTCTTTTCTTCCCTTTCATTTCTCTCTGTTTCCGAATCGAATTTATATCCACTGTCAGCGAATTATCCTGGAACCACCGCAGAGCATCCTCTTGAAGGCTTGCCTGAACTCTGGTGAAAATACCGTGTATATCACAGGGTTCAGGGTGCTGTTGAAGTAGCCCAGCCACAGGAAGACGCTTGCCATCAACTCCGGTGGCTCGCAGGCCTCGCACGTGACACGGAGCAACGTGACCAAGAAGAAAGGCAACCAACAGGCAACGAACGCCCCGGTGATTATCGCCAGCGTTTTCGCCGCTTTCCTCTCGCGTTTCGACTCGATCGTTTCGCGTGTCCTCTTGCTCGACGACGTGGTCGAGTGGCTGCACGAAGGATTCGTCACGGTGGTGGTCGTGGTCGTCGTGGTCGTCGATACCGCCGACGGTGTCACGGTGGTCGACTGGGTGGCGTTCGCGCCGTTGTACGACGACGACTTCTCCGGCGAGATTGACGAATGGTCCGGCGTGGATCTCGTTATGGTGAACGCCGTCGACTCCTCCCTCGGCCTGAAATTCACGCGGAATTCTGATCAAGCGGACGTTCAAGTTGTTTCCGACCCTTTTCCTGCTTTCAGAGAATGCATGGATGGAAATATATCGCTCGATGTCGCTCGGAAGTGCGTGGGCCATGAAAATTACAGATAGGAAATCATCTCTTTAACACTTTCGGTACGAGAGCGCGTGGTCAGTTCTCTTGTGTATAAAGATTTTCCTTAGCCTTAACCCTTTCGCTTCGAGCGCCGCTTATAAGCGGCGCGCACAATATGACCTGTGGGTACGAGCGCCGCCTATAGG